ACGAGCGCTAACTTCCAACTGAGTGACGATAGTTGTAGCGCGAGAACAAAACGACGACACAGAGACAAGAATGACACGAAAGTCACGAGCGCTAACTTCCAACTCAGTTGTAGTAGTAGTAGTAGTGCGTAACATGTCTTACGCGTTGACCTGCAAGGTGGTGCCAGTGGGAGATTTCTCCTGTGCCTTGTTGAACAATAAAAAATTCGCAGCGTGCGCGTTAACTAAAAGCCGAATTCTTCTGTCTCTCATTCCCCATTAGCAGCCATTGGCATGTACATTGAGCACCATCTGACAAGAAAGGGTTGCTAAGTTATACTCTCTGTGCGTGACTTTCTTGGTTTTAGAAAGGTTTGGCGAGCGTTGGGCCGCAGTGCCATGAATACAGTGAACTAGTGTATACCATTACCTCGAGGTGATTAAAGGTGGGAAGTATACACGAAGCGCAAGCCATAAGAAAGTGTGAGTGTGCCACCTCTCGTTTAGTCCTTGGAATGTTCACTGGATGGCGGTGCTTTTATATGCGGAATATATGATTAAAAGATGCGAGATGGTGGTACTTGGGAGTGTTGACTAGATGGAAGAATGGACACACAGACAAATGCATGGACGGACGCATGGATGGCTGCACGGAAGGATGGACGCATGGCGGACGCAGGGATGCATGGACGAACGCAGGGATGGACGTGCGGACGCACGAACAGACGGACACACAGGCGGTCACACAAACGGACGCATGGACGGACGGATGCCTCGCCCCCTCTCCATCATTCACCCCGTGGATATGCTGCCATTTTTTTCGCTTCCCCAATCTTACCCTACCTATATGTTTTATTCCCCATACTCCATTCCTGTGCTGACCTGTTGAGGTGTGCTCGTGAGGAGAGTGAGTTACGGGTCGGCACTTTTCTCTTCTTTTCTTCTGTTATAATCACCTATATAAATATCGTTGGTTGTGTACCAACAGGCCCAAATAATCACTTTAGTATATTTCTGGCTAGCGTGGATATTTGAACCAACTTAGAACATTTGAACTGCACGTCGGAGATATTCGTATGGCGCGTCACGCGCGGAGGCCCGAAAGGCCGGGAAGGAGGGATTTTTTTTCTTGGAATTTGTGGCGCGCCGATGGCTCGTAGCGCTGCCACGTCTACAGAATCATTGATCGCGGAGGCACTTTGCGCACGATGAGCGTGTTTAATTAAAAAGTTTGAAAATATATCGGAGGTAGTTTAGAGGCCCTCTAAACAGTTGGTGGTAAAAACTTTATTAGAATTAACTCCGGCAAATTCGTGGCCTGGACCTAGGCCGTCCCCGAGGAGTACCAGTGACCTTGTCTCCTGGCCGCCTCAAGCGCTTGCTGGATGGGCCACAGCTGATCCTGGAGGTTAGAGCTGCGCAGCCGTCTCATCTGGGGAGATTGCACTTTCTTCTACTAAAACTGCACATTCCCAGAGAATGTGGCTGTGCGAGTCCAGCCATACAATTGGCAAGTATCATCTGGATAGACATCTGGATCGATTGGGGAGGGTCAGAGCTTCGAAAAAAAAAAAGTTTCCGTACTATAAGTTTCCCTTTCACGATACCAAAATCACTACCCTTACCGCGAGAAGACTTTTGGTAAGCGATAAAACGCGCAAAAAGAAAATGCGGGTGTTAACGTCACTGAAATTTTTGCACAAAACGTCGTCACGTCATAGATTCTGACGGTGTGTACAAAAGCCTACGAAGCTCCTAACAGCTGAAAAATGAAGCACATTGTCTGCTGCTGTGGCCAGAGACTCTACACGCCAAGTTTGGGGAAATTCTGTCGAGCCAATGTTGCTCGACAGAATACAACGACAGCCAGACAGACAAAGAACTTTACTGGGTCCTGAGAAACACTGCTCCTTTAGAGCAACGTCGCGGGCCGCTCCCACGTAGGAACGGGGAGGCCTAGCCTCACCGCCGCGTCGTGGGCTCTCTGGACAGCCCGTAGTTGTGGTAGCAACTCTGCACTTCGTAAGCCAGAGTACCAATCTTCTTCTGTGAGCCGACTTGGGCCCTGTAACGAGGGACACTGCCAGAGCATATGTGCTAAGTCACTAACCTTACCACAATCAGGACAGGTAGAGTCAAAAGCCTCTGAGGAGACTATGCTGAGGAAAAATAGGCTTGGATAGGACCTGGTCTGTAGCATTCTAAACGTGATGGCTTGAGGTCTAGACAACTTGTTGTGTGGTGGAGCAAATGACCGCCTACTCAACTGGTAGTGTTTAGCCACTTCACTGAATGTAAGTAAAGCGTCCCTTTAGATCTACAGTCTAACGCTCTCTTAACTGAGCTATTTCGGCAGGCAAGTAAAGCGTAAAGCGTCCCTGGAACATCTCACTGCCAACCTGCGGACCTACGTCCTCTCCAGCGCGGAGGGTTAGTGCGCGCGCCCGGGAACGAGCAGTGTCATTCAGGTTTACTTGAGAGTGCAGTAGGGGTTCGAGATGTGCAGGAAACCAGACAACGACAAATACACTTTTAATTCGTGACGTCACGCGCGTAGATTTCAGCGCTAAATTTAAAATGGCACATTTACCTTGATTTTACTTTCTAATTATGAACTTATGAAGGTAGGATTAATGACATCAGAGTTCTCAGAGAATAATTTGTTGACCTAAACCAATTTATTGTTTCAATTTAAAGTCCGCTCCAGTGCAGGATATTAGGCGACAAGTGGAAGGAGCTGGCAATTTTTCCTGTGTACTTACTAAAGCTTCGTTCTCGTCTTTTTTTTTTTTTTAAGTCAGCATCATATCGATTGCACACAGCAGGCGGTGTATAAAAGCGGGTCTGCACAGTGGAATTCGGTGTGTCCGAGAATTAAGGAGTGCACGTCACAAAGCCGGTTTCCCCCATTTTCGTCCCGTGTACAGTTAAAGTATGTACGAATACTACCGGTGTGAATTCTGGCAGCGGACGGAGCATAAAGTCTACATGTTAGCACCGTGGATAGAGGCACTTAGGACAGTAACACCAGCACTCACTCATGATAGGCGACCGGCACACCAAGGCACAGTTCTAGATGCTTCTTTGGCTGTCTACTTCATGATGCTGATGACGGCTTCCAGATTATGACACATACCCACAACGGAAAGATGGAACAATGTGTGGGAGCGGGCTATTAAAGCTGCTCAGCATGAAAACACAGCAACACTGTTCTCGTCTCCCCTGTGTCGATCATGTCTACTTTCGCGCTTAGAAGATTTAACTAAAAAGAGACGGAGATGCTATAAGGAATCACTTCAGTAAACACTTGCGTGGCTTAATTACTCCTCCGTCGAGACAGTGCTACCTCTTGCGTAGCCACATGATGGGATGTGTGAAATCCAGGAGCGTAAACAGAATTTTTAGAGGATAGGGAGGGAGAGAGTTAAACCATGCTTTATGTATGTTCATGGGAAACTTCAAAATTGGGGGGGGGGGGGGGGGCTGGCGGACATCTAACTTCTGCCCCCACCCCTGAACACGCACTTCTGGGCTAGAAGAATATACTGGTCATGGGCGTGGCCAAGAGGGTGTTGGTTAAACCAGATTTTTAAATTTTGCTTGCGTATATACTGAACATATACACATACAAATGCGCACACACATACATAAAGTATGTTTGAACCCTCCCCTCCCCGAAAAAAACTTTCTGGCTCAATCTTGAGATAGGATCAATCTTGATGAAGTGTGAAGCAGCGTTCCACCGGTCCTCGCGAAAAGAGCGGGAGACGATGCGACGCGCGTCCGTTCTCGTCGAGCTCTCGTAGAATTCCTCATGCAAGAAGGCAGACGGGCGCATCGCGTTCCATTCTCATCGACCCAGTCTCAATGGGCAAAGGCTTTCGCCGAACACAATTTGGAATTTGCAAAGTGTACTTCAATTTTTTTTCCTCACGAATCAACTGCAACTTATATATATATATATATGTGTGTGTATGTGTATATATTGTCGCAACGTGCAAAGAACAGGACACAAGGCTTCCTTTCGACGTTAACAGCAAGGCTCTATTCCCACACAACAAAGCGCAAGAGCAGATACGCAACGTCGTCTTCCTCGAAAAACGCCAGACTGCCGCTCGTGATGCTGGCTTCTTCGTCCTTTCGTGTTTACGGCTAACAACCGTGACAATATATATAACCCATTTAGAGCAAAGTTACAGGGATAGTCGCATGCTTTAAGCACTTTCTGTTCTATGCAAGTGAGCGCACTAGAAGCTGCGCAGGGAGGACGACGACAAGGGGGCACGAAGATGCTTCTATTCCATTCGTCAGCGCACGCAGTGACCCTTGTACACTTTCCATTTTTTTCCTTTGAACTTGCAGCTTACTTTCAGTACTACCAGGACTCTGGTACTACTTTTAGTGCGATTGCGACTACGCGCACGTAAGGTCCCTAGTTTTATCTAGGAACCTTACGCGCGCGGTGGATGTGGCGTCATCCCGCGGCGGCTGCCACATCCACCATTTGAAATTTAAAGCATTCAATCTATGCTATAAATTTCAAATATTTCTACAATAGTGCTATATGTAGTACCATCTAGTCGTCTGTGTAACTATCCTTTCTTGCTGTGGTTCTCATTACCTTTTCTTATTATTATTAACTTTGTTCTTCAGTAGATGTGTACATATGTAGTAGCAATCTGTAACCTTTTCGGCCCACTCGTGTAAGAGCCTGTTAAGGCTTATAGTATTAATAAATAAATATCAGTAATGCAGTCTTTCGACGGCACCACAAAACATTTTTCAGTCCTTATGGCAATATTCGCAAGTGTTCACAAAACTGCAAGAGCGAGATTTCTAAACGAAAATACGAAAGCAAACCCCTTAAACTGCGCACTGTGTGTTGCACGCTGTGCCAACATCGAGGTGTGGTGATGCAGTATGATACAACTTGAGGTAAGATATACAGCAGTGGCAGTACCACCAGGGTGATGCTTGGGATTAAGAATAGCTGTGTCCACAAATGAAAAACAGGCACCAAGTCTGTAGCGGAATGCCAGTTCTTTATTTTCTTCCAGCAAAATAACACAACTTGTTTCAATCGTGCCGTCTCTCACAAAGCTCAAAATACAGATCTGCAAAACGATGTACACCACGTCACATAGTAAAAGTAGACACATAGTTACCTACCACACAGCAGACATCATTGGCGCACAAGGACGTGGGATGGGACAAAAATAAGAAATCTAAAAACGAAGGTGCGGCGTCGTGTACACCTACCACTAGGCAAGAAAGGTACTCCAATATGAAACAGCTGACTCACAACGCATGCACATGGAAGAAAATATGAGATTCGGCAAAAAAAAAAAAAAACAACTCAAAAATGAGATTCGTCAGCCTGTCAGTGCGAATACCATTGGGTAACTGAATGGAGCAGCGTGACATCACAGCTGCCCGTTGCACCACGAGGCCCTGCCAAATGAGCCAGGAGTGCAGTCATGAGAAACATAATATATATGTATATATAAAAAAAGATGCCAGCGACACTAGTCCTTTAATGTCGCTCGTGAACAGATGCCCTACTGTGACAACTTGCTCTTAAGTTTCGCTTAGGCAGTGAGAAAAAACGTCATAGCTGCTTGCCCTGCGCATTTGCACTGGATGGCATGGGTGCTGCTTTGTACGTCTACCGCACTTGATGTCTATCAGGCACGTACCATTAACCTAGATGCCTTCAAAAGCTACACGTTCACTAACTTCCGAGCCTCTGAATGAAGTTGTTTGAAACCTCATGAACATAAAAACAAACTTTTGTAGAGAGCACCTGAGTCACAGCACAGAGCTTAGGAATATTGTCAGATCCTGGTACTCACGCAATCACATACTTATAACCAGTGATCTCAGGCAGCATGTGCTAAGTTCAGCTGCCTGAAGAGGTAGGTGATCGTAGATGTCCTGCTCAGCTGGTAGATAATAAACTTTAAAGCCTCACTTGTGCTTTAATACCTCACAAAACTGTTGCCCATTAATAATACACAATGTAATAGTTATAGCTAGTAATACACAATAGCAGCCAGGTGACTGCACACCTCGTGCATTCATCTTTTGTTCAACGTTAATAACAGTGCTGTGCTGCCACCTTTTTGTTCGACTTGAATAAAAGTGAGACTGTTATGCTGAAAACCTGCTATTGTAAGAAGCACTGCCATTTAAAAATTTGGTTATCTGACAAACATTTTGCAATGAGATTCCTGATCTTCAGATCTTGACCTCTTTGGGACAAATAGTTGCGTGCCATCCCGCCTTTCTCGAAGTAACCATCAACTTGCAGTGGACAGCCAAAGCATACACCCAAGCTGCCTTAGGTCGGTTTCATGCGGCCATCGAACACTCCATCACGGCATTGCTGTGCATCATGACAACGTTCTATCAACCCCGTTTCTTCAAAAGTGGTACAATAGCAATGGCAAGAGAGTCAGATAATGACACTTCCGTCATTTCGACAAGCTGATGAGAAAGACATCTCGCCGTGTACACCAAGTACCTTTGCGGTGACGTGATGTAGCGTGATAGCTACAAGAACCTGGCCTTACCCTTCCCTTCCCGCAGTTCCCTCCCGAGCAATGAATAAGGACGACACAACAACACTGGCAGCCCTTCTTCAAAGCTTTGGGCACAAAGAAACAGAGATCAGCTAGCATAGAGCAGCTGCCTTCTTGCAATACGTTTTTTGTGTTTGTGGTGCCATCTAAAAACATGAAAAACGCACATTACACTATGTACAAACTAAAAACAGCGCAGATAGCCTCTTGAAGATGCTAAGGACTTGTAAAGAAATGAACAGGACATGAAAAGGAACACAGTAGGCCTATCTAGAGAAGACTCTAAAATGGAATGTGCACTGCAAGAGGCTGAAGCCCGGGTCTGTGCTTGGGCCCCCCTCCTTTCCATCAACCACTCCTCTCATCAGGGTCTTGTGACCGCGGAGGACGGTAACTTTATTCTGTGCCAGGGGCCCGCGCAGGGTTGCCCGCAACAGCGCGAAGAAGCCAACCAGCAGCGCGCTGCCCTCTCCCACTGGCTGCACCCCATACCGCATGCAGCGCACACCTGGATAGTCCGCGTACCCCTTAAGTTCTCGACAGTGGTGTTGCGATACACTTTCAAAGCACTGTGCAGGTGTCATCTTTTCAAGGTGACCACGTTTCTACAACCTTTAAAATACAACATTGTAAAACGATTGCTATTTGCCTCGTCAGCTTCTTTACATTATAGCTGCACGCCCGATACTTTCCCACCAGGATCACTATATTGATGTGTTCAACGTGCTCGTGACTTAAAAAGTACCATAAGCACATTGTTGAAAAGAAAGCACTTGCATGTTAGATTATGATTGTTTAGGGACAAGACAACATAAAAAGGGAGTCAACTTTTTGCAGACGATAGTTCTGGCTCACAATAATCAAGTCAGTATGAGCCCCCCCCCCCCTTTTTTTGTTTTTTTGCACATGAACTGTTCAACACGCACCTACCTATAAAGCTATCTATGTACAGGCAGATGGTGACAGGAGTGTGGCTCAACGTATTACCGGCCACGCAGTGCCATTGAAGAGAGCCTTAAGAATCTTAGCAACTATCATCGTAAGACCAGACTACATGACAAAAAAGCGATCGAAACTTTCTAGGAGTGCTCAACAGCATTCCTTATTCAAGCAGGTGTTGCTTTACTTTCACCGGTGTCCATACCCAATGTTTTTCTATCACTAGCATTAAAGAGGAACACAGGAAATGCTGTATGTTTCCGAAACTGCTAAAAGCACACCCCAGACAGGAATAACACTAAAAGTGTTTAACGCAACCTACAGCGTCACGGCGCAGCGCCAGTCCTTAGTTAGAAGCAGTGTCTGAATGCCAACTTCATGAATTTACCCTAAAAGATGTTGCTGCTGTTGAGAATCACTTGGCTATGCCGAAGGCAGTGATGCAAAATGCCCACAAAATGGAGGGCTGACGTATTGGCCACAGCGTTTAGCGCCTTTCTCAACCTTGCTCAGCTGGGATTCGGGATGACAGGCACAGTTGGAATGGGTGCAGCCAGTGGAGAGAGAGATAGCGAGAGAGCAAAGCCAAAGAGAGCTTTCAGACAAATGTGGCCAATGCCGAAGGAGACGTGGTCTCGGGCGGCCGTTGCTGTTGCAGTTGCTGCAGCTGACGGCGCTGCTTGGGACCGTACTCGCCGATGAAGGAGCCATCCTCCCCAAACTGGCCCGGGTCACCCTCTCCATACTCGGCCATGCTGTCGCTATCGCTCTCCTTGGTGCTAGAGTGCAGCGAAGTCCGGCTGCCACGCACCGGGGCCTGCTGGGCACTGGAAGGCAATGAAGACAATCTCAAGACAAGGCCATGCTCTATGCTGCTGATTTCCCACGTATGGAATATAATTTGCAAGGATCACAACATAGACATTAATTTCAATGAGTGTACTTGGAACGACAGTCATATCTGCCTGAGAAAGCTTTCATCCTACATGTTAGGGCAGACAAAGACACAGGATAGAAGTCAAGACACCAGAAACGGCAACGAAAACTGAAGATGCGCGGTGTAAAGAAAAAAAGGCATGAAAACTTATCTGTGTATGCCCATGCCATTGCCGAACATACTAATCTAGCATGCGTGGGTGAAAAATAACTGATAACATGAAAGATAACTGATAACTCTCAAGGCATTAAATTTCATCTTTGTGCAAGTTAAGCGACGCATGCACTGCCACTGTTATCGATACCCCTATGCCTCGATAATAAGACACATTTTTTCATTCTTATGAGAGTAAAAACAGCATATTCATCGAATTTCGGTGTGCGCTTACACTCTCAACAATTTAAAGGAAGATTAGAAGGTGAGTCGCCGATTAGCGATCTGTTATGCTCAGATAAATTCTGTTTAATGGAGGTATGTCCTACGTAGAAGTGGCTGCAGCTGAAAGGAACCTCGTACCACACCTGTACAGCAATTAGTGAATTTGGTCGTGTTTTACAAAATAAATATCGTTACCCTTCTTTTTTACTCACTAATTCTTTCTCTTACAAATTTATCTAGCTAATTGGCAGGCCTAAAGACAACATTAATGTTGCATCTATTCGCTACTTCAAGATATACAATCAATATAAGGTATACCTTTGAGACATTTCTTCCTATTGCTTGAAAAATGACAAAACTCAAGTAACCACAGAGCACATGCATGCACAGTCAAGCTGAATACTGCATTGTGGTGTGCTTCGATAGCTGAAGAAATAAGTAATATTAGCAGTATACACTCTGTGCATGGCGACTGACGCGCTGCCCCATGGCTGTCAGAGGAGGCAAGAGCCCGAGCAGAACCAAACGCTCTCCCAATGCCTACTAGCACGTAGTTTATTGGAATTACGAATTGCTGCATAGTCGATTGCACCAAAAGGTACACATCGCGTCCTGCGGGAATGACTTCTTACAGTTTCTCGAATCGTCCCTGCTTTTTTGGGCAGCGAATTAAGTGGATCACAGTTGTGAGACACAAAAAGTGTTTGGTTCCCTCTCTCTCTGCCGTCTCTAGTCCTGCTGCTTAGTGCTTGAATTGGTCTCAGGCACCACCTCTGCAGGTGCAATGATCCTTTGTGATGTTCCTTCTGCCATAGAGCTGGTAAGAAATGAAAGTTTGCAAGGCATTATAATTCACCTCAAGGCTGATGGAATGCTTCAATGGACCTTAAATATTAATAACTCGCCTGTTTACCCTTCGCAGTTTTGGGGAATGCAATGAGCAGTCAATTAGTGCTTTGCTGGCTGATAGGACCATAAGTTAAGGGGCAAACTGAGTTACGAAGCATATTACCATAAACACAACCAGCCGCCCAGCAGCGCTATGCGAACGAGGTAGGGTCAAGGTAAAACTTTGATGGGTTGGTTGACTCTTATTAAACTGGCGCACCCTATGCACACAGGGGATCGGCCATAAAATTTGCGGTGCCTTGTTATATAAAACAATTTGTTGATAATCTCAAAATGCTTAGCAATAGATCATTTTTGAAACAAGTAATTAGCTTAATATATGGGGGAAAAAAACACTAACACTGTTGAAGAATAAGCTTGGTTTAGATAACCTTGGCATTCAGTTCGTTTCGTTTCACGTAGTAAATCACGTTCGTCATCGCAAACGCTGCACCTAGTGCTGAAGCCCCAAAGAAAAGAACACCTGGAAGTGATAAACTTAATTACATCCTGCGAAGTGGTTCATCAGGAAGTCTTTTTTTTTTTGGTAAATCTGTTGGGAAGAAATTATGCAGGGCAAAGAGCAGCAGAACTACAGGGTGAAAACGAAGCTTTGCCAATGCTCTAGTGATGAATGTGTGTTTCGGAAAGCAAAATAAACAATAGAAGATGTTGCAGTGAATGAGAAATATGTCACGGTGGCTGAAGTGATCGCCACATTACAAGGTGAAGAGAAAGACGAAACGAGGCTGCGGCATTCTCTCTGGCTGAAATTGTAGCCCATTCTCTATACTGCCCGCGCCTCAAGCCCTTAGCGTAGTTGCACGAGCGGTGACGTAAAGACCATGATCATGATGAGCGAGAATGATGTCGCGACAACTTCAAGCAAAACAATTCGCGAGACTCAGTGGCTGAAAATGGCCGTGACATAAAGCCGCAACAATCGAGCACCCCATCGGACACTTGCCATGATTTCCCCGGCGAATGGCCATGAGCCATTGATATTTCTAAATGCTCCGAGTATTTTGCAAGCACGCAGGCAGTACGCACGCACCCATAATATTCTAAGTGTGAAAACATGACAGCTTGCCACGAGCCTTATGAAGCAAGCACTTTGCATCGCATACACTTGATGCACACATTTATCGTTAGTACTGAAGACAGGCAGCAAGGCGCTCACTAACGGGGAAAACGTGGCCACTTTCGTGCAGCTTTTCCCATTTATTCATAGTGGCATTGCAGAAGAATGTCTCCCTACGATATCTTGAAATCCGGCTCAAAGAACCAACGTGCCAGCCATAGATGCTTTTGTCAGCATAGCTGTCAAAGCAATGAGGAGCTGCTGTCTGCTATACGATTCTCAAGGCTGCACGCCTGCCACACCACAAGTGGCACTGCGCACGACTTTCAAAGCACCCCCTATAGGTCCCAATCAGAGTGTATAGCACAATTCCCGACCAATGTAAAGCAATTTTCCATGAAAAATGCAGCGAGCATAACAAAGCTGTTCACCACTGACCAAAGCGGTCTTCATTTCAAGTTCGCAGCCAGCCGCCCGCAGTTAACAGCAATCACATGTGGGGAGCATGGGCCAGACAAAGCTTGATTGCATCTGACTTCTGGATGCCAAAAATGACTGAATTGGTAGTGATGCCAACCACCTGTCATATGTGTTCAGCATGAGAGAGGTACCGTATTTACACGATTGTAAGACGACCCTTTTTTCAAATTTGACAATCCAATGTTGGGGGGTCGTCTTAGAATCGAAATCGAACCATGTACCTTAGAATCGAAATCGAAACCCATGTATTGTCATCTCAAATAGTTTCCCGCTCAACCCAAAGCGCATAGTTTTCCGCGTGCTTATACAAAAGCTTTTCTTTTTTTAGCATTTACTGCGCGCATTACGAGTGCCTTTATGACGAGCGCACGGCTCTTGAGGGAGCACCGGTAATCGATGGAAGAGCCGCCGTAGGGGGGTATTGGTAGTTGACGGAAGAGCTCCTCTTTGTGATACAATTTTCTAAGCGGGCGCGTCGCCGCGTGCTCCTGTCGCTTGTGTCCACGACCGGCTCTCTCGAGTCACTTCTGTCTGACATGAGTGCCGTAGGCTCGAAGAACACTCGGCGCTCGGACACTCGGCACTCGGAGGTATACTGTTGCGGCTCAGCATTGGCACTCAGCGTAAACAGTGTACAAGAAAGTTCACTCTATGCAGGTAGGCTACTGCTATTAAAATCTTTTCTTTAGTTCTCAGTTGATTTTGATTAATGTTGTTGCATTTTTACATATTTATGCACCAATTTGAAATACACAGCTAGTATGTACTCGAAAATAGGTGGGGCATGAATATAGGTCGGCCCCTACATATAGTGTTCAACGAGAAAAAAATATATACTCAAATATAAAGCGACCCATGTTTTTGTTTTTTTTTCAATTTAGAAACAGGAAAACTGAAACGTAGCACACTTTTATTTACATAACTTAGCGCCCTAATCACTGCTGGGGCCGTCATCTTGTCATCTATATTCATATCAACAAGTGCTGTATTCCCTCAAATTTACCTCGCCCTGTATAGCCTAAAATGTGATTTCATTTATATATATATATATATATAGTTTTTCGTTGTTCTTGTACTGATCCTGCCTGTAAACTGTTCGTTACCTGTCTGTACCATTCCGATTCCTCCCCCCTTACCCAATGCCCTGTTCTGGGGCCTGTAAGGTTTTTTTTTGAATAAAGAATAAAGAATAAAGATGTGCAAAATTTTGTTGTCATGAGATTCTTCGCAAGCATCCACGGCTTACCAAACGACTTCGTCCTCACTGTTGTCGCTAGCGATAGCTGGGCCGCGTAAAGCATTATACCGTCCGTTGCACGCAAACAGACGGTCCTGCTGCTTTCCCCAACCCCTAATCAACTTCTCATTTACACAGAACTCGTGCTGTGCAGCATAATTACTTAAGGGGGTGGACAAAAATCGCAAAAATCGAAAGGCCGAAAATCGCGAAAATCGCAAAAATCGACTATTTGAAGTTGACATTTTCAGAATCTGCAACTATTTTTGGACTTATCTGAGAAATTTCTAGCTTCTGGCATGATTATTTCTGCCACAAAACCAATTTATAACACCCCCGTGAGATGAATCTGAGTGCAAATAGACGGTAAAATCCCGCCTTTTCCACGCCAAACCGTTGCTGTTACACACGAGCCATCGAGGTCATCTTGATCTCGATTGGAAGTGTCGTTCTTCATCTTCAATTTCCCGCCACCACTGGCTCGCCCAATTTTTCAGCAAAAACGCGTCATCGAGAAGTGCCAGCGCGCGATTCTATTGGCAGCTTGGGGCACGTGACAAAACCTAGGCATCCGATTCGCCGAGCGGCGTTTCCGGCGTCTGCTTTTTCATCGTGATGCGCACAGGCATGCACCATTTTGTCATGGTGCTGTTGAGTGCCTTCTGCAGTAAAGAAGTTCCGTGCCAGACTAATTTGTGAAGCGGGTGAGGCGATCGTTCATTTGCTGTGAACTTCAGAAAGAGCCCTGCTATGGCTCAGGACAGCGAGGATAACGAACTCACGGCGGTCAATGGCAATCGCCGAGTCACCGATGTGGGCCTAACTTACGTACGAGCCCACCCGTTGTCGACGTCGCTGAAAGCGGCCATGTTTTGGAGCCTCAACAATTACAGGACGGCAAGTAATAAAGCAGAAGTGAAGCTACGAGTGGTAGCAATCTTTGCAGTGACTGAATGGAAGCGCAGTCTTATTGCTAAGCGCACTGATGACGCGGCTCCCCCGTCTGACGAAACAACCTCGTTTGTGTGTGAACTGCGTGATGGGTCGTCAGAGTGGCGTTTGCCACGCGTCGACAAACAACAGAAAATCAATCTGTTCACGGTGAACTTGCTCGCCGCCCACGCAATGGGGGCTTCTGGCAACAGGTAGAGTGCTTTTAACGACGCGTCCGCAAGAATGAACATATTGCGCCGCGGTCTCCACTCGAAAATGTGGCAATCTTATGTGAAAACTAACACCTCGCTACTCTTGCAGCCTTCAAATTGATGAGCGAGTGCACGAGCACGGTTTGCGACATCTACAACTCAATCTGGATAAGCTGGAAAACATCGCTTTATCATACGAAGAATCGCGGATGACGTGCGGACATTTGTCGCACATCAGCGTCAGTACCGTCACCGAACTGATAAGCGGCCAAGTCGGCAGAAGAACACACGGTGAGAACTTGCAGCAGAACTTGATAGAAACGACATGCTCATGCTAACAATCAGTCTGATTGCATGCCCAGTGCATATTAACTGACTAAAAGTATGTGTGCCATGATATCTTTCCCTCGAAACGGTGGAATAAAAGTTTTCACCGTTTTTTTCTCATTTTCTCAGAACACAGATTTGACCACTTTCCCTGTTTGCTTCTGTAAAAACGGAGCTAAGGCAGCTAGAACTATAATTCTTTCTGAACGATGTAGTTAAATGTGCACAGAAAGCAACGCTGAGATTCGATTTTTAATATTCAGCTCCAATTTTTTAATTTTCATTATTTTTTTTTGCTTTTGGTTACATGCATACAGTAAAATTTGTGGTGCTGTAATTCTAGAACTACTTGTTCAATTTTCAATCAGTTTGCAGCGTTGCACTCCTTAGGCTTTCTAGTATCCATATATGTGTTAATAACTATATAATTTTATGTATATGAATTTGCATTGTTTCTGCAAGAAATACAATGTAATTACTAATTATCTAAAAAAATAGTTAACCTGCATAAAATATACCTGGACAGTTAAAGCAAGCTCAAGAAACTGAACAAGGCTGTGCAGTTTCACCTAATTTGGTGAAAAAATAACCCACGTTATCTTTAAGATCCATGTCCCCCCTTAAGTCCTCGGCAGAAAGTTTCATTTGGCACTTGAAATCGCCTGTGTAGCTCTGTTGACCTGACATCGTCGCAACCGTGCAGAAGCAAACGGTTGTGGTGGTTAAAAGAAGAAGGCACCTAATATTGCAGCCCGGTAGGGAGCATGGCGCAGCGCCTAAAGCGAACGTGAACGAATCACCCCGTCACGGCTTTCGTAAGCGCGAGGCGGCGAGGCCTCAGGCCAGTGCAAGTGCGGCTGCGCGCCGGAAGGCTGTACCGGAAGCACAACTAGCAGGCTAGGGACTTCACTGATCTATACCTAGGGAAATCGTGGTTTTCATCGCAAACATGGCTGAGCGACTGCATTTGGCAGGGGGCTTTGAAAAGGCAGTATGTGACAATTGCATCAATAACTTTTTTTTCTCAATTAGTTAGGTCCAGTGGTTCTCAAATGGGGGTCCGCGAATCCTAGGGGGTCCGGGAAGCCATTCTATGATCCGCGAAACCATCACATGCTTTTTTTTTTACATTTTTAACAGCTTTTTTTTCACACTATGCAACTCTATTTAAGTGCGACTGTGCCACGTATTGATGAACTGTCCAAAATGAAGTGATGTGGCACATTTGTTTCATGTTTTTGGTAGCAATAAAAGGCCCATGTTTCACGCTCCAGTTGTGTTAATTTACCTACATACACCCCCTTTCTCTACCCTCCGCAGCAAGGAGTCCCCCATCACTTCCACCAGTCTACAAGGGGTCCCCGACATACCCATGGCCGAGAAACACTGGCTTAGGTAGTCGAAATAGAGGGGGGGGGAAAGGTCTTTATTTCAGATTTTATGGCATATAGGGTGCTTATGAAGCAGGAACCGCTAGAAGAACAGCGGGTGCGGGCCAGTTGAACGCCATAAGCTCGGTGCTCTTGGTTTGTTAGATCATGAATATAGGTTGAGATTCTTAAGGTCATGAATATAGGTTGATAGCTCGTTATGAACAACATTTTCAGAAAAAAAAAGGTCGACCTATATTCGAATAAATACAGTATATTTATAGCATAATACAGTCTAGTCTCATTACCATGCACTACGAGAATCCAGCAAAATTAATACATTTTATCTGAAGCCTGGTTTATCCGAAGTCCATTATATTGCAACTTCGCACGGGGGGAGGAGGGCTGTTGCTGTGTGAAGATCATTTCAATTTCTCTCAGCAGTACAAAGCAGGCTAGTTCTGCCGATAAATTCTGAACGTATTCGACAGCATGGTTACAAAAGACTTCAATCACCAGCAGCAGTTATCACCAAAATTGCAGTGCAAGTTCTAATTAATGAGCAAGTGCCTTTACAGTAGGTGCATGGACGTTTTGCGACGTGGAAAAAACAGCTCTCACACAGCGTCAATGGTTCACCAGACAGTCCAAAATCGGTCTGAAAGTTCAGAACTGAGAAGTACCAAGGCACCTGTCATATTAACATTAGAATTTGACAGTGAAATTCACATGCTTGGAGCCCCAAAACGTCTTACTTTCAAAACTGTAATTGCTGATGCCGCACTATGTTACTGCAATGAGTGACGAACACATACTATATGGGTTTCATTAATATTTTAGATATTCCATATGCCTTTTGGGGAGCAAAAGATAGTTGTCATGTAAATAAGCATACCATAACAATATAAAATAAGAATTGTATGCAATAGGGCCAGCATGCTTGCTCCACTCCCCTTTTGAAAAAAAGTTGAGGGATGTTACACATTTGCTTGCGAGTCAATGTAAAGCTACAATTTCACTCATAAATGTTCAACATGTGTGTACACTGCCGAACAAAATGACCAGTAGACCAGCCTGCAGCTGCACAGTGTTTAGAAAACTTAATATCTCGGAGGTGTGAAAAAAGACTCACGGCTTGGTGTATTCGTGGAAGCCACCGTCATAATCAAGGTCACGACCCTGGGCCACTTCCTTGTCGTGGACTGAATACTTGCCACCACGGTTACGCTTCACCAGGCACACAAGGATGAGAAGCAGCAGAAGCAGGGCCAATGCACACATCATGCCAATGAACCAAGCTGCACCGGCCACGGCATCGGGACTGCCTGGCGCCCGGATGGCTGCAAACACATGCGTAGGATATCATTACACACAAACCTCTATATAACAAGCATGAATACATAAAAAATGGCTATAATGACGAAGTATATGAAGAACAGTCTTCCATTAGACATAGGGTTAGAAAGTTACATTTACAACACATTTTCAGATAGAACAAACTTATTTCTGGCTAAGATCCAACTTCATTACAATGACCTACGAGTATTTACAAGCAAAAACTCAGTAATAAAATGTCCTCTGCAGTTCAACAGCTCAGAGGACAATGTGAGATGCTATGAAGATAAGTTGCCTTGCTTCAAGAATAGTTCTGACACGTGGAAGCACATTTCCAGGCATGCACAAAAGAATCTCATTAAATGAAAAATATGTTTCTGTCCTTTCAGGTTCCCTATGTTATGGAACCTGAAGGGGTCAGCACGGTGTGTTCCACTTAACTCTGTTCCATTTTTAACGTAAGTTTCGCTTACTAGGGCGGTGAAAGAGTGCGCAGAACTCAAGTTCGAAACCAATTGTATTATAAGCAGTTCCATTTAAAGCAGCAGTTCCGTTTAAAAGGTTTAAAAGGTTAAAAGGTTATGATGGTCGTTACTACTGACCGCCCTTTCAAAAGTCACTATAAGAATTTTCGTCGGCTTTATTCATTCTTAAAACTCACTTATAAAGTTTTTTTGTAAGTTTTCTTGGACTTGTTTCCTTGTGTTGTACTTGCAGTAGACTCTCAGTAAACGGAAATCTCTTAAGTAGAACTGAAGCTTTCACAGAAAAGCAGTTTCAAATACGATTGGTTTCCTACTTGTATTCTCTGTAAACTTAACTCCTGTTAAATGGAACACAATTTCCTGGTTCCTTCAGGTTCTGTTTAACGAGAGTACTGTATACAGTGTAGCGTGCATGCTTTGTGCTGTAAAAGCACTTGCTGTTTCTATGTTCTCGCTGCCTTAAGCCTGCAAATCATTCTTTTTCTGTTACTCCATTACGCTTCTTCCCTCTTTAATGCCTTTACACCCTAAATAAATGAACATACAGATATACATAATAAGTGAACGAATGAATGATGCTCATTTGTAGACATTGAAAGGGTGCTCAAAAGACATGTTCATTGATTTACTGATTTTCAAGAATGTATGTTGTGTGCAAGGTTAAAAGCTTGAATGCAACATCTGATTGAGAAGGTTAACAAGTCTCAGTCAAAATCTTGCCAATGTACACCTACCAAATCCTCGAGTTCCAACTTCACTGATCTGCAAAGGTCTACAAGAGGAACCAAAGCTGCCACTGTAATAGACCGATCTCACCGGATGATCTGCGCGTGCGCCGGCTTCTGACAGCTGCGTCGCCGCCATCTTAGTTGGAGTACTCGGGGCGCTGCTGGGGCGGCTGCTTGTAGCGTGCTTCAAGTATTTTAGTGTTTGGCACGAATCTTAGGTGCATTAGACAGTTGAACGCATGAAAACCTGAGTGCAGACCTCCAGTGCATGTTACTGTATTTCCTGTTACAGCGCAAATCATTGCGTTTAAAAAAAAAAGCAGTCGACAGTGCTTAGATGTGGCCAGGTCATCTTGGCGTGCTGATGCGCTTGCGTCGTCCTCGCTGAATCCATACTAGTAATTAAAAAACGAGAATGCAGGTCCCTGTCGTCATAGGAGCAAAAACACTCTTCAGTGAACGTCGGCCCCGCGAGCCCTACAAGTTACAGTATGCGAAAAAGAACTTCCAGCAAACTGCGCAATTCGAACACGGGGCAAGAACAAACTAGTAGGACGGAAAAAAAAAAACAACTGTTTGCACATCTTTTCTGTCCAAGCACCACTTTACATGTACACAATGTTGTCAATGCAGGCCTTCGATCACAGTGATGCATTGAGCGGGAATGATTATGGAACCGTGTCCATGCATTGGATGGCAACTGGCCACATTACACTTGAAAAGTTCATAATCATGAAAAAAAAATCTTGTAAATGGCAAAATATTTCTTACTGCACATGACATGGATCAGTCAGTAAGAAGCCATGGTGACAATAGCGGCGAAGGAGTAGTAATCCACTGGGCGGCTACATGTTAGGGCCTCAGAGAATCGACAGCTCGGCGCCCATATCATCGATAGGCCTACCTGCTTTGAAACTGCAGTACGCCTACGCTCCTATAGAAAGCTAAGCTTTGCTTCCGCTGTTGGCAGCTTTACATCGCATTCATAATATCACGCTTTGAAAGGAGTGGGCTCATTCCGGCGGCGGCATTGGCTGCGATGCTGACATGGCAGATTTTTCGCCATGCATTGCATGGCGTGCAGCTGTGTACATATACAGCATGCACTTATAAGCGTCGTTAGTGTCACAGTTCTCATTCAAGCAATAACCTTCACTGTCATCACCGATTTGGTGAGAGGCCCGTTTAAGTGATCTCTGTGTGGCCCTGAAAACATGTATTCAATTTGCCACCGCTGACGGTGATCGCCTGGACAAGGAATTGAGCACGCATTGCATGAAATTTTGCAGTCACTGATCGGCTCAACGGCGATTCAGAAAGCTTGTTATGATGCAATATTACTTGGACAGGCTTCAGCGCAATTTAGACGAAGACCATAGGAGACACACAGAACACAGACGAGTGCTGTTCTCATATGTCTCCTACGGTCTTCGTCTAAATTGCGCTGAAGCCTATCCAAATATGTACCAACTCGCCCAAGTGAAAGTGCTTTTGGCAATATTACTGCTATTTTCAGCACTGCTAAACTACCATGCGTTATGTTATGCACAATGAACTCACGAGCACTTTGAACTACACGCTGAAAGAGCGCGATATTTGCCGCTCCGTCGGACTTCGGTGATTGTCGAGTTTGATATCCTTTAAAGAAGCGGGAAATATCAGTCCTTTTGCTACAGGCTGGTTTTATAGCATTTCAGCACACAACACAAGCACCTAACCATCATGATTCATCTAAATACCGCTGCCAAAGCTCGTTGACGCAGCTCGCCGATATACCCAAATGTACTGAGTACTCCAAGTACCGGCATGCACTGCGGCAGCGGTGGCAGAGTGAAAGTCACAGTGAGATCGGTCTATTACAACTTCTGCAACTGTACACCCAACAAGTCCATCAATTAAATTTTCTCAATTCGCAAAGGTCTCGAATCATAACTGCAACTGTAATGCAGCTGTAACATCAACTTTTACAACTGTACAACAACCAAGACTGTTCAGTTTAAAGCTTCCTTTGATTGAAACTAAAGCTACAACTTTACACCCATGAACTCCTTGGAACTCAAACTGCAACTGAAACTTGTGCAAAACGTGCCCCTACCAAGTCCTCCAGTCTCGACTTCCTCGGTTCGCGAAGGTCGTTGGTGTTTCCCATCAACGGCAATGACGCGCATCTCGTACAGGGCGCCTGTCTCCAGGCCCTTGACCAGGATGTTGTCCTCGTTCTTCTCCACCATGGTGGTCTCCCACGTCTCGTCACCCTTTCGTCGGTACTGAACATAGAAGTGGCTGCCCGGGTGGCCCGCCATGGCTGGTAACCATGTCACCTGCATGCAACGTTCAGTAAAGCACTGCTATGGCCCAGTTTGTACATGATTGTCAACTCTGCACATGCCTATGTGCCCAAGCTTCATCGCTAAGCAATTCAAAATAGAATTCTTCAATGATGCGTGCTGGCACTTGCAATGAGGCATGCTGTGCACACCCTTTCAGACAAACTGTCTTACCGCTGTGTTATATATTTTTTTTTCTTCATGCTCACGCTTTCACTCCTTCTCTTGTTTCCCGCTTCCCACTTCATTGAGTACAACCTCAGGTGGCACCTCAAGAAAGATTGAGCAATTGTTAAGTTTTCACCCACCCGTTCTTGTGCTTTACATGCCTCCCATGAGTGTTTCATTGTGTTACCTATGCAGTGCAGTTTCACAACACTTGTTCAGCATAACGTTTGCTTACTTAACATAAAATATCTGGCCACTGAAGTGACTAGCATGTAAGCACTACTATACAAATCCTGTTCAGACTGAATGCGTGTCAAATCATTAAAAATCATGGGGCACTACAACACAGCCTGGTGACACAAAAGACTTGCTTTTCCTGAGCTTGACTTTCTCAAGTCTCTTGCCACGTCACGGCTTTCAAAATATTCGGGGCATAAACAACTAAACATGCTTTCCGATGCAAGTGTGGTCCTTGTCGAAAAGGACTGAATTCCTACTGCAACTGCAATTAAGAGACCAAGGAGACTAGTCTGACGAAGCAACTCTTTAATGTGCGGATGTACATTCATAGCACCGATTTGGCAAGAATCTAACAGCGGCACCCTTCGCTATCAGGTGCACACTGATGTGTTTCACATTTTGTACCTGGCCGATAGGTGCTCTACTACACAGGCTTATCTGTTCTGCCTTGTGAACTTTATAAGGGAGTACAAGAGCACAATGATACAACTGTGGCAAGCTGCAAAAAAAAAAAAAATAATAACATGCATCATAAGGCTGTCTATCTTGCTGCATGCCACTAAACCAGATTACCTAATAGCTAACCATTAAATGAAACCTTTAAATGAGCACCAACTCGCCCAGCAAGCCACTCTACTGAAGTTCAACACCGTCATAAAGAAGTATCCTTACAGTACTGATTACTATAAACATAGTAAGCCAATGACTCAAAGTACACTGTTCAAAGGTGGTTTCAGTATGTCTGAAGTATGCATTACATGCTGTAGGCATCGGCATGCCTTCAAATGAAATAAGATTTGCCATAGTTGCATGCCACTGTTGAAACAAATGATGCTCAGCAAAGCTTCAACGTGGGCTAGTTGGTACGACACTCTAATGTAGTTTGTACTGAGTGAAAAGCATGAAGGACTACGGACAACAGGAGAGAGACATGTATACTTCTCCTGTTCTCATACATGTTGTTTCTTTGTTCTTAGTCCTTCAAGCCTTTCACTCTATGCAACTGCATTATAACCAATGACACTACAAATATGAAGGGACACATAACAACCTGCGAGCATGGACTTTACCTGCACAGCTGCATGTCCATCGCGGTCCGGTAAGTAGGCCCAGGTAAAGTCTGGCATGTCAGGGACACGCTCGGACTCATCAGCCGTCTCCAGCTCAATGAAATTGGGATCACCTTGGCCTTGCGCAGTAGCTGCATGGATGGTAATACGGTACTTCGTGCGTGGTTTAAGTCCCGCCAGTTTGGCACGCGATTCCAGGGGGTCGCGCACGGGCGGCTGGCGCTCCATCTTGGGACCAAGCTGGGTGCCCCGAACTTCCTCATAATAGATGTGGTAGCCCGTCAGCACACCATTGGTTTCCAGAGGGCGCTTCCAAAGCAAGTAGATGCCCGTCGAGCCCATGGGGATGCCCTCGAATGAAGCGACGGGTCCCGGAACACCCTCGGGTGTTGAGAACTCTATGCTGTCCGACGGGGGACCATTGTACATGTCGTTGAACACCAGAACGTGGACGAGATTGCGCGAGAACGGCCGGAACAGACTGACCGTGGCAGTCGTCACGTTTGCCGGCACCACCACCTCCCGCAGCTTCTCCTCGCCTTCGTCAGGAGTCCAGGTCTGGATCTTGTAGCCACGGAAGTGGCCCCGCACTGACTCGGGGCTGACCGGACTCCAAGTGAAGTTCGCTGTGCGGGCATCAACAACATTGGCCAGCTTAAAGTCCTGAGGCGCAGCTAATGGCACGTTCTCTCCTGAGTACCCGATCACTTCGGTGGCTGCCGTGTGTGCCTGGCCGCGCCGGTTGTGGGCCTCGACCTTGATGCGGTACGGCTTAAACGTGGGCTGTCCATACTCGACATGGCGGTTTAGCTTCCAGTCCTCAATAATCCGAGAGCTCCACGTGGCGTCGGGTATGTCATCGCGCTTCCAAAGCACCTTGTAGAAGAAGCCAGGCGCATTGTGCTCTATAGGGGGCATGGGTGTCCAAGTGATGAGCAGGTTATCGAAGCGGTCCCCCCGACCCATGACACGGTCCGGATTTTTGTGTGGCACGTCTTCAGGAGTCGTGCACCTCGACGATGCCCCTGAGGGCAGCGAGGGCCCGATCTTGTTGCGAGCCACCACCCGAAACGTGTAGTTTGCCCAGGGACTCATGGACACCTTGAACTTGGTGTCGGGGGCAGGTATGTTCACGAAGGCATCTTCCCAAGTATCTGGACTGAAGGAGGTGTTATATTGGATGGAGTAGGACAAGATTGGAGCTCGCCGATCTCCCGTTGGCTTCCACTCCACGAGAGCCATGAGACCGTCGCAGTCGATCCTGACCATCTGTGGTGGATTGGGCACGTCTGAAAGAAATGGTAAGAAAGCACAACGCCGTCAGCCTTTGTCAGAAACTCTCGTTAAAAGGCACCTCAAGGGGCCAGGATTCCTTTTACCAAGAGATTATTGCTGGTGCACAATTTAAGTATAACACCAATCATACTCAATTCAGCTTTTCACTTTCAGCAGTTTCATGCAACAAATTTCAATTTACTGAGAATCTACAGTATGCTACAGGGAAACCAATGAAAAAAAGTTAAATATCAACACTGCGTACGGACTAACTTGTCAAGAAACATAAGCAAGTCGCATGCATCATGCAGGGAAGTGACTGAAACCAAAGATGGAGCAAAGTTATGAATATTTTTGTGTGTTATGTGTATGAATATGCCCGAGAGAAAATGGAAGAAGGATGTCACAAGGGTTGTATGCACGCAAGGGCTCATGTCATCCATTAGCTAAAAAGGTACTTTATCACAGCTCCAGTCACAAACCTATGCACAGAACTGTTACTCCATTGATACAGTACACAACATGTGAATGATGCTGAATCGTAACCAACTTATGGTGAGTCATCGTTCCTTCCTGCTCTGTGAATGTACTGCTATAAATGAATTGGCACTTGTAACTGTCTTACACTTATTTCTATTGGCTTCAGTGACTGCTAAGTTTGATTATAGCCGTTGATTATTCCCTGCTGTGCCCGATTATTATAATAATAAACTGTGGCCACACAGGAAAAGTCACCGACGTGGCCACTGTTAGGAGCATTAGGCCTCTACCTTTCTGTGAACTTCTCTCTCATTTTCACAATTGTTCCGAAAAAAATAAGGCTAAAAGACCTCATTTTTGGCATGAACATAGCACCTGAAGGGTGGCAAACAGATCTGAAGACAATTTGTTTTGATAGGTTGTTTGCTTTAATACACTTTCTTCTCTGACAGTCTTTTTCCAATTCACAGTACAGTTTTATTACATTGGACTCCTTTCACTTCATATCTGAAACAATTTGCTTTGTTAGGTTATTAGCTTTATTACACTTTCTTCTCTGACAGTACCTTTCCAGTTCACAGTACAGTTTTATTTCATTGCACTCCTTTCACTTCATCACCATAATTCAAAAGGTTGCTGCATTTTATTTACTTTTAAGCCTTTATACAACTGCCTTAAACTATTGCTGATTGGACACTATATCATATATTGATGCTCTTTGCCTATCTCTATCTAACCCATGACGCATAAAGCACCATGCACACAGTGTTTAAGTTCACTTGCGCCAAGAAAACATTTTAATTCTGCACACCCCAAAAAAAAGTTGGGGGGAGGCGGGGGGAATTGAACAGGTCAGTTACTTTAGCACACACAAAAAAAAACCAACCTTGTTGAACAGGATTTATGTTAAAAGCTTGTTCATTTGAATTTCATGCCTCCAGAAAAAATGTCCTAATCAGTAGAATGCCAAATAATTGGAAGTATCAAGAAAACACTAAACACTAAACCAATAAACCTTTATTTTTCTAACGAACACGTAAATCCTGCACTTACTTTGCACGGAAGTGTAAAAGCTGCAATTATCATTATCCAGCAATTTCGTTTTAATGCAACACAGCATTAGACCTCGTGTTTAATTAGGCCTAAAAATGATTTGCACACCTCCCTTATTATGTACCGTTGCCACCACCAGTGCGCAAATGTAAAGATCTCTCGCAAGTAAAATGTTCTGCACATTATAGTCTATCACAATGTGGGAAGTGAGTTTTACGCCCTTCCATCGACCGCAGTTGACAGCTCTTCATCCTGAACAGGCTTGCCTGAGCTTTGAGGGGAGATGGATAGCAAAGACAGGTGTAAAGCAAACTCCACAAAAATTTGCAAGTAGCTTGAATGTAGATTTTACAAGATGCTTTGTGAATTAGGCAAGAAACTGCAAAGCCATTCTAAAAATATCAAAAAAATATATCATTTTACTATTTTCATTTTTTAAAGAACATTTGCAAAAAAGATTTTGCATGTGAAATCTTTTCTAGTTATTACATGTGCCCAGGGTATCCTTCTAAACCAAAGTAATAATTGTAACCATGGCCATTCTTCACCTAAAAGTTTAGATGTTGGATGACAGGAAGTTTAGGACTTTTTTCTTAAAGAAAAGCTTTTGTAAGAAATTTAATTCTGGTGTCCACATTATTTCCCTTCACTATGGGCACATGTTATCCAGAAAGAGGTCACAAAGGTTTGCACTTAATAGCTGGTGTGGTTACAGAGAAAATGTTTCTTTCTTAGCAAAAAGAAATGTTTTGAGATAACGCCACTTATAGTTCTAGTTGCCTCGGTGCCGACATGGGCGCATTTGGAGCCGTTCTTATATGCTTTCCACTGCATGCAAAAACGCGTCACTTCCTGGAAGCACTTGCCAGTAATGCTAGATTACCGTGCTATGAAAAGTCCAAAATCGCATTTACAGTTAATTTTGCCCTCCATCCCCCTTTCAGAGTGACATTGCAAGTGCATCGCTTTAAGTTAAAATGCCCAGATGCTGAGGACAGCATCTGTATGAGAATTAAATGGTGGTCAGTAACCGATGGAGATAGCGATGCTGAGAGCATCGCCCCACTTTGGGTGTCAGAGAAAGCCACTTTTACTCTTTTGCGTCACAAGTATGTAGCGCTTTGCAGTTGGCGTGCCCAGAGAGCCCTCCGAAATAACTGGGTTGCAACCAAATTTGATTGAACAGGAGTTTGATGCCATTAAGCAATGCATATCCTGAGAAAACAGCCAAATTATCCGATTTGCCAAATTTACAAGGGGTGAAATAGTGAGCCTTTACTGTACAATTTTACAACAAAAGATATTTATTAATGTCACTAATTTAAAGGTTAATTGAGCAATCTTTCTTAATTACCCAGACAAGTTGACACGTATATCAGCAAAGATGAAATATTCCGATGTTTCCAAAGAAGTGCTACGACCTTAGTAAAGCAAATGTCGGACTAGAAGTGCTCAATAAAAAGTTAATTTGTTAATTACCCAGCCTGGCATACCGGAAAAAAATATGATGAGCTGCATATGGCTCAGCACAATATTGAGCCTAAGCAACACGCACAGAGCACGTTTTTTTTTTTTTTTTTTATGTTTGGTGCAAGTTAGCTGAAGCACTTTGGATAAATCACCATCATTCTGACAGTAGCCACCATAATTCCACCACATATAAGTGATGCCTACACTAATCCTGATAAGAAAGGGAAGTCGACAACTACATGTTTGAAGCTGAAACCAAAATTTTGCTGTCAGAGATCCCTTAACAATTCCACCACCTTGCTAGATTCCGCAGAAGCGGTATGTAACAGTCAGTACTCCTGATTATTACACCATTTTTAAGTCCTCCGGCATGCGGGAAAAGTGGGCACTCACCCTGGACGGTGAGGGTAGCCTGCGCACGGTCGCTGTCGAGCTCAGTGCGTGCAACGCAAGTGTAGATGCCCGAGTCGAGCTCGATGGTGCGCGTGATGGTGAGCGAGTTGTCACCCGCCTGCACCATACGCGCGTCTGCTTCCGGATCCACAGGCTGGCCGTTGAAAAGCCACTCGATCTTGAGCTCCAAGCTTGGATCTGCTTCTGCATTGCACCGAAAGGTTGCACTCTTGTCTGCTGCCACCTGCACGAAAGAATGAGATGCACTTACACACAAACAGGAGGAAGCCTGGTAGGCGAAAACTGAGAGATGTCGGTAGCCACCTTGACGTAGAGCTTATAACAAGGGAAGCTACATACTAAAAGATAACTCTGAGGATAAAAAAAGGTATGCAAACAGCAGCGCAACCACAAACTACAACACGCTCCCACCTGTCGTTTGAGAAATTGGAACTGAACTTTGATTTCTAGATTATTCAAAAGCTGTGCAGGCTGGAAGACTGGAAGAAGGAGATGGTTGTTCAAGTAAAAGAAAGGATAAAATGCAACTAAGCGATATTTAAATGCACAATCTCCATGTGGCAACTAAGGTCCACTTCCACGGTGTGGCCAGTGACAGACGAATTAACAATAGGGGTATTGACAGTCCGGCAGCGGTGCACAAAGCGATCAGACGGCACAAATACATCTGCAATTCTTTGCAGGAAATTTCCACGTGTACGCTTCGGTTGGACGCTACGGCAAAACTACCCTTCATCGACGTATGGCCCGCAGCGCATCGAGAACCGGCATCGTGACGCTGCTGGCCTGATTGCTGGAACAAGATAACACGGAGTCGGCGCAGAAGGCTGTCAGCTGATCCTCGGCTGGCTTTATAAGCGCTGAGATTCTCGTCTCCCACACAGTCCGGCAGCGGTGCACAAAGCGATCAGACGGCAAAAATACATCTGCAATTCTTTGCAGGTAAGAAAGAGGTATCCCTCGACTACTTTTCTTGCTTTTTGCACTGCTGCCGGACAAACATTTTTTTTTCTTTTTTTTGTACTTGTCAAGTGAAGTTCCTATCATGAGTAAGGGTGACAAGAAAGAAATCGCAACGTTAATCTCTGATTTTCAACGGGAAATACGTGCCGAGATAAGGTCACTAAAAGAAAGCCTGAAATTTTGCTGCGATACATGCGATGAAGTAAAGAAAATAGGAACCGATATCAGGGCACTAAGAGCGGAAGTAAAAGAACTGGTTTCTCAGAACGAAAAACTAAAAGCCGAGAATCATCGGCTTGAAAAGAAAGTTGAAGAACTTGAGCAATATCAAAGAAGTAACAATCTTGAGATAAAGGGTGCACCAGAGGAACTTGACTCAACTATCGTCGTGAAAAAGATAGGTGAGCTTGTGGGCGAGCCAATATCTGACAGTGACATCGACATCTGTCACAGGGTGTCGACGGCAAAAAGGAATGAACGGAACATCGTTGTCCGGCTCATCTCGCGCAACAAACGTAATGCGGTGCTCGCAAAAGCAAAGAAACAAAGGATCCTTTCTAGTCACCTCGATTACGAGGGAGCGGAAAGCGTTATTTATGTTAACGAGCACCTGACGCGACAGAACAAGCAGCTTCTTGGCGCAGCCATAGCAAAAAAGAAATCTGCAAAATGGAAATTCGTATGGTCTAGTGGAGGAAAAATTCTTGCGCGCAAAGATGAAACGTCAGATGTAATCCGGATAACAAGCCCAATTGATTTAGGTCTCATTAAGTAAAGAAAGGGGAAGGGAAGGAGAAGAGAAGGCGGATTTTTTTTTTTTTTTTCACCATGTCTACTATAGAAACAACAATACCAATAATTAATGATGCCTCCTTTACCATACTACATCAAAATATAAGAAGTATTAGGAACAAGCATGAAGCATTTGATGTCTTTATGAGTTCTCTTCACGTAGACATCGATGCAATATTGTTTACAGAGACATGGCTGTGTAATACTGACATGTCTCCTCAGTTCACTAACTATAATATAGCACGCTTGGATCGCGCAGGAAGAGGTGGAGGGTTGGCTATATACTTGCGGCAGCGATATTGTTTTCAAATGCTTGATGATCTTTCTGTGAGTAATGGTGACATAGAGTGCCTAGCAATAGAAACAAATTCTTTTGTACTTGCCGTGGTGTATAGACCCCCAACTGGATATAAGAGGCATTTTCTCAGTCATATGGAAAACCTCATGCATTGTTTTAATGAGATAAAAAAACCATATTTTATCATGGGTGATGTAAATATTAATATGATGAGTGAAGAGCTGTACGCGCTTGACTTGAAAAACCTTGTAGCATCATATGGATGTCGGAATGCCATTATATATCCAACCCGTATTACTCACAATAGTTCCACGTCACTTGACGTCTGTATAACAAGCCTAAATAGCTGCGATTACACCTCGGGCATACTGTGCTCAGACCTAAGTGACCACCTACCTATCTACATTTCTACACAAAACCTGCAGCACAAAATTAAATGTCCAAATATCGCGCGGTATAGATATATTAATGACAAATCACTGCTTAAGTTTACCGAATTAATTGAACGTGCTGACTGGTCACCTGTGTATGTGCAATGCAACCCAGATAGCGCATATAATACTTTCCTAGCTATTTTCCTTGAGTGCTACGATATTGCTTTCCCGATACAACAGATCAGAACACGAAAGGGTAAGAACAGAAAACCATGGATAAACAGTGACCTCCTGAAACGAATCAAGCAGAAAAACGCGCTTTTTCACAGGTTTCTTGCTACTAGAGATATTGCAATATTGCGTGAATTCAAGCGATTCCGCAACAAACTAAATAGTGACACTAGGAAGGCTAAACTTGCCTATTATGAAGCCACCTTCTCACGTATAAAATCAGAACCGGCAAAAATATGGAAACAAGTTATTTCCTTAACTGGGAGAACAGCCACGTCAAATACACCTAAACAAGTAAAAGTCAACAATATCATTCTGGAGGGTAAGGAACTGGCAAACGCAATTAACCAATACTTTGTAAATGTGGCTGTTTGTGATGAAGACTCAACACAATATGAAGATGAAACAAGTAGTTGCATGAACTCTCTCGTACTACACGAAGTATTACCCGAGGAAGTCTACCGATATATAAAAGAACTAAAGACAAACGTTGCGAGTGGTTATGATGACGTAAGGGTGGCTCCAGTTAAGGCTGTCGCATCTATACTGAGCCCCGTATTAGCATATCTGGTAAATTATTCCTTTCTTATTGGAATCTTTCCAACAAAACTTAAGGTGGCCAAAGTTACACCCATTCATAAAGGTGGCAACACTACTGAATTAACAAACTATCGTCCGATATCCGTATTACCTGTATTCTCAAAAATTTATGAAAAATGTATAAATACGCGCCTTATGAAATATCTTGAGAAGTACAATATCTTATCACCGCATCAATATGGTTTTCGCAAAAATAAAACCACGGAAGAGGCACTAATTGATGTAAAAAGCCGCATAATAGAAAATATTGAAAATAAAATGTTCACGTTAGGTGTCTTCCTTGACTTGCGTAAAGCGTTCGATTCTGTTGACCATAATATCTTACTGTTGAAATTAAGCCGCTATGGAATTCGTGGAATAGTCTCTGATTTATTTAAAAGCTATTTATCATCCAGACAACAATTTGTTAGCATAGACAGTAAAAAGTCAGACTATTTAAGCGTAAAGAAAGGAGTTCCGCAGGGGTCCATTTTAGGCCCCGTGCTTTTCCTTTTATATATAAATGATTTTACAGAGGTTCAGTATACACCCGAAATTAAAATGTTCGCTGACGACACAAGTATATTTTTCACAGGCTCCACCATTCAGGAAGTAGAAGCTTCGACAAATGTATATCTCTCGAAACTTTCAGGCTGGCTAACAAAAAACAAACTAAAATTAAACACACAAAAAACAAAATTTATTATGTTCAGGCCCATTAACAAGCACATCAGTGATAATATAGTAATCTTGTTTGACAATCAGCGACTCGAACAAGTCAGCACACAAAAATTCCTTGGAGTCTGGTTTCATGAGCACTTAACATGGACACCGCACGTAAATAGTCTCTTGGTAGATCTAGCTCGTTCTGTAGGGTGCTTGAGTAAAATTGCTTTCCTCCTCCCTTCATGGTTATGTAAATCATTATATTATAGCATGTTTTACTCCAAGCTTCTATACGGAATGCTTGTATGGGGAACAACAACTAAGACCAATTACGATCGAATATTAATCTTGCAGAAGCGCGCGCTCCGTGTAATAGAAAAATATAAAGGTCACCCCAAGGACTTAGACACTCAGCCGCTTTTTCTTAAACATGGAATTCTATCTGCTAGGAAAGTATATAATCTTAAACTGATGCAACACATCCACAAACATAAACTACAGGATTCCTTTCCACGCACTGTATCAACAACATATGGCTTCAGAAATTCTACCCGCAAAACTAAGAAAACACGCACGAACTATGGCAAGCAGGCTATTGATTATAAGATCATACAATTGCTAAACCTTCACGAATCGAATATAGACTTTACTCTGAAAACTAAACAATTTAAATGTCATCATAAATCCTTTCTTCTTTTGACTAAAGACATAGTAGATCCATAGGCTTTTATATTTGGGAATACTTGTATACTGAGTTGATTTTTTTTCTTACTGTGAACAATGATACTTAAACAGAATCGTTTGATACCAAAATTGTTTCCTGTTTATGTAAAACATATTCTGAATGTATATCATGTAGAAATAAGCTATGTAACTAAATAAGATATGTATAATGTCACTTATTTGTATATGTATGTTACTGATGTGTGAATATGTGTAATATGGCACTGATGCAGACTGTATCAGGAGGTCAAGACCTCGTCAGGCTATTTAGCCTTTAGTCTTTGCCTCCCGCAGGGAAGTTTTTTTGTATTTTTTTTCCTGCAAATAAACTTTGAAACTTCAAGCTATACCCCATTCAACGTGACAGGTAATCTACAGGTAATATGGAGTTTCATTGACCTTGTACCTACAGAACAGCTAAGAAAGTTTCAACAGGAGCCACCTAAAGTCCTGGTGATAGACATGGGACACTCGATACTTCTAGTCTGGCATCATTCAGGCATGAAAAGACCATAAGCTGGCCATGCAGCTTTTACAATATCCCTAAAATGACCTCAAGAAATACTCAACAATATTCCCGTAAATTAGGTGCCTTCACAACAGGTCGAGAGTAACTTTTCAGTAAAAGCTCCCATATAGGCTGCCAAATGCATCTGTCATGCCTAGCTATCTCATACCATGCAAAGAAACAGACGTATTTTCTGTGATTCCATTTAAATCAAACTGTAGAAAAAATAATGGTCTCCACAAGAAATATTCATATACAGCTATTTCCCAGCCACATTTCCTAATCCCACCATCTAATGGTTTAAACTGCCATCTGTAGGCTTGTGCGAATATTCGAAATCTTTGAATATTCGAACAATAATACAGTACTCGAATTAGCAACAAATCAAATTTAAGTTATTGAAACTTCAAAGTATGAAACGAATTGATAGATGTATATTAGTCCACATGTAACCCCTGTAAAGGTGGCTGCAGTGAAAGAGTGCTAAGCTGTGAAACCACCTAGCAAAGCGTCTATTATTCCACATTTAACTTTCTGCAAAAGTCATTTCCCTACAGCGACATGATGCTAAGCCGTGAAAACGTATGTTCAGGGGAATTCGCACTGACACGAAGTTCCACTTCAAGGTTAAAGAAAGATATTACCTTCACACCGACTTATTTTTAAGTTCAAAAGCTTGCTGTATGAACTTACAAGCTCTAGGTATGGCAAGTCTTAAAATGTAACATACTTTACAAGTTATCACATGCATTCTACCGAAAGTCAAATCCCGCTACTATTCAAAGTTGTTCCCACTTTCTTTGAAATAAAGAGAATGACATTTGCATCGGCCTTGTTTCAATTTTAAAAAATACTGTGCAGGTTAGTTAGGTCATGATAAATATGTCCATTTTTCTTTTTATGTAATATGTATTATTCAAATTCGGTTCGGAATTATTCCACCAAAACCACTATTCGCTTGGAATTCACTTCAAACATAGAATTCCCTATTCGCACAAGCCTAGCCCATCTGCAATTCATAGAACAAGATTCCTCAGCCACAATGCACTGGCCAATTGCCTGCTCTACGAATTTCGTGACAGAAGCTTTACGAGTAGCTCAGTTACCTCGTAATTCTCAGGTGGCTGTGTGATGAGCGTTTTGCCTTTGACCTCTAGTGACCCAGATGCTGAAGCGTCACCGAATTTGTTGCTGGCGTAGCAGGTATATTCGCCCTGGTCGGTGACTAGTAGGTCGTCAATCTGTAAGTCGCCCGAGTCAAGGACACGGTATCGCCCTCCGGTCAGCTCTTGTGCTTCCTTCATCCACTTCACTTCGGGTCGCGGGGCCCCAAAGACGCGGCATCGCAGCGTCACCCTCGATGTTACCACGGCCAGCGTCAGCTGTTCGGGTGCTTCTGTGATGGTCGGCGGAAGCGCTGCAAGGAGAATTGAGGATTAGAGCTTACCCTATAAATGACAAGCACAACAACCAAACAAAAGAAAGGGATTTTTTTAAAGAGGTTGTTTATGTGTCCACTACGACCGAATCATTCAAACAGACAATGTGGCCAGGGAAAGAATACAGGTTGTTAAAGTCTTAACTGCAATAAACCAATGGACCATATGCGAAATCGCTTTGTGCTCTGGCAACACTGTGCATTTTGACCCCGCCGCCATTTTAATGTGGGCGAGCGGTCGACGGCAACGCGTTCGCTAGTGTACGGCCGTACGACTCCTGAACACTTGCTTCACTGCGCTGAGCTACTGCGATGGCCACAGCAAGACGTTTCCCACTGCACGAACATGTGATGTGGACAAACTGTTTATGAATCTTGCACATGTATGTCATTGCATCTTTCGGAAAGCGGTGGAAGGATACCTACAAGATATAAGCAAACAAACATACAGTGCGACGTCATGAGCTAGGTTTCTCTTAGCTGTTTAAACGATTGTTGTTTACAAACACAGGCACTATCACAAATTCATCTCACAGGGAATAGAGGTCACACTTATATGTGCATTGCAGGACCAATGACGCACTTGTAATGTGACCCCCTCCCCCTGAGTTTTTTCTGTGCACACTCCCGTTTCCTAGCAGCCTTTCCTAGATATGACCCTTCACAGCAAGCCTTAAGAGGCATTAGTCACTTGTGTACACTCGGGGGAATTTAAATCAGTTATTATTTATATCTAAGTAGCTTCAAAGGTTTCTAGGAGCTGCGAGTGTAAGGCAGCCAAAATGCTGAATACCATACAACTAAGTTATGGCTGTCTCCACAGCTGTATGTTTTATAATGCAACATGAAACATTTTTGAAGTGAGGTGAGTTGCAACTAAAAAAAAAACAGCTGCAACGCAACTGAGCCAAAGAGACTAAAATGCAGAGAATGAATCCCGTCTTACGAATAAATAGGACTGCCACGCTCTGAACTCATGCAGAACGTCATTCAGTCAAGCCCTGGCGATACTCATGGTGCCAGTTTTCGAAGCCTACGGCAGTGCGCCCCGCTATCTTTTCGATTTTATTTCGTTGGTAATGGAAAATTAGTGAGGGAGGCCCCAATGGAAAAGTTGCGTCCGCGCACGTTGGGGGAATCGAAGTTAAGTGCCTGAGCAGATACTTTTCTGTTCCAAAGTGGGCATAGCCCTTATCTTCCAAATGACTGTTTTATTGCTGCGCGGTGACCGTTCTTGCGGACACAACGGAGCTTGAACGCGCACAAGCAACCGAGCTGCCTTTCTAGGATGCGTGTACGGCATGTTACTCGGAGTAGCGGAAGCTCTGCTCGTCTCTGCGCGCAATCACCTTCAAAAACAACACTTCTACGTCGTCTACCTACATGGTGTAATCTCGTCACAAAAAAGCCCGTCCTAACAGTTCGGTTCGGTCACACTAGTTACCCCACCAGCAGTGGCGGACTCTCTATTCGACTGCAGGGAATCACCGGGGCTCTTCGATTTACCATCTCAGACTCACCGCGGATAGTCTGCGGGTAGTCCGAGGCTTCCCCGAAGTCATAAGAAAATTTGAAGGCCGCACAGCTTCTCAGCGAGTTCGAGACGGTAAATCGAAGAGCAGCACTGTCGTGTAGAGGCCCGACGTAGTGAAAACACCTAGCCGCAAAGCTGACAAACTTATAAAAACACGACGTGTCCGCGTAACACAATAAAATGGTTAGTCCTGCATTGCTCTCGTGCAGCCCGCGCACTGCGGAGATACATGCATCCTAGACTGTGCCCATAAAGCTTGTGCACGCCATACCCTGTTTTGCGTTTAAATGATCGCTGCAAAATCGTAATTCATGCCACATACCTAGCTCCCATCGCTGTCTGTGACTCCGCGCTGCTTGCACAGCGGCACACAGCAGTGTACTGGCATTTCGCCAGCAAAAAAATCTGACTGCGACAGTCGAAGCGTTGAAACGCATACGTTCGCATGTGGGTCGCCCGCGCGAAGTGGTCAAGCCTCGCCAGCATCAAAATGGCGGATATGGTACCTGCTGCGTTCACTAGATGGCGCTGTTAATTTCGCATATTGCCTATTGTGACGTATATGGACACAAGTTGAAGTGGATGAAAATCATCATTTCTGTCGGTTGTATCTCAAGCCACGCGTAATTTGAAGGTTTTGGGTCAAGATTCTATCGATGAAGAGGGTGATTTCGAACCTACCTCCATTCATTTCAATATCCGTCACGATTGGCACACTACAGCAAGAGACAACTAATGTTCTCTATGCTTTCTCTGGCCTAATTGTGTGCTTGATTCATTTGATTCCGTCTGACCGTGTAAGACTGTGTCATGGTTGACCGTGTCAGAATTCAGGCTTGCCATTTTATTGCGTGTTCAATAGCAGCCAAAAACTACAGACTGGAGGCTACTTCCAAGAAATGCATGTAAATAGCCTCTGCCATAATTTCAACAAACTGTTGGACTGTAGAAAAATACAAGATACAGATGCCACAGATACTGAGCAAGCTCCCCAAGAAATTATGCACTGTAGACACAAGGTGACATGCCACAAAGATATAGCAAAAGCATGCTGTTATTTATACAATAAACATACTTTGTTTCAAATTCACACTTGTCCAGTAATACAGTTTCTTTGTCTATGCCCCATTTCATGCCACTTTACTGAAACATGACACTACTTCCACACGGCTATGAAATTTTAGCTACCAAGGGTGTTTTAAATTATTTTTATATTGGTCGCATATATAAACAATAAAAAAAAACATCAGCAGACTAAAATGCTTTTCCATAGCTAGCAACATGCCCATGCAATTCTTCAAGTCTGTTGTTTCAAAAACAATAAATTCTTCGCATCAACCAAACATGACAAAAACAGCAATGGCTCTTTTAAATGTGAGTGTGAATGTGCAGGATACGCCGACAGCAGAACAGTGCAAAACAGGCTTCCACTCAAGCAACCATAGCGGAGCTGCAGATAGGTTGAAAGAACGAAGTTTAGGGACGAGATAACCTATTCTTTCCCAAAATAGCGAGAATCAGAGACAGGCACAAAGGTATGCTATAGTATTTGAAAGAAATCAAACTCTAAATGAAGCTGGTTCACAGGTACTGTCTACAGCTGGAGCTTATGCGACAACCGACTAATTTGTTTTAGACACACGAAACACTGCAGGTTTCTTCACCAGACAAATGGCTCATCAAGTGCACTGCAGGCGGATAGTTGCTCTCAAAAGTTGCATAAGATATGAGTGTACGGTCAGTAAAAAAAAAGAAATCCACATATATGTTAGCAAATCAGTGGCAGCAAATCATTTATCTGCCCCACCACCTAAGATACACAGCCATGTCAGCCTCAGAGGTGTCATAGCTCCAAGCATGTTGTGCATGAACTTACTACAAGACGCAAATGCTGAGGAAAAATAACAAGATTGATTACCACGCAGCAAAACTATTTCACCTATGCATGTCAAGCCAATAACAGTGACTCAGATAAATTATTTGTCAACAGCAGATGGCTTGCTTCTCTCAACAAAATAGCAAAAGGAAACAAGGAAGCATGCAGGCACTTGCCCAGCACATTCAGATAGAAGTCCCGGAAGGCATATCCATGAGGATTGGAGGCGTTGCACTGGTAGACGGCTGTGTCACGCTTGGTAAGTGCCTCGATGGTAAGCAGGGTACCTTCAACCTTGCGGCGGGGGTTTGGCTCGGCCTTCTCAACGGGAACACCATTCACGAACCACTGCAGCTTAGGCTCGGGTATGCCTGTAGCCGCACACTCAAAGCTGACGCTTTCTTCTTCCGCCGCGTTGGTGTTGTCAGGCACACGCAGCCAGTAAGGCGCTGCCTCCACTTTGACATGCATTGCATGTGTCTGGGCCACGCCCACCCCGTTGTTAGCTTGGCACTCATACGTGCCCTCGTCTTCAAAGCTCACCGAACGGATTTCCAACGTCTTGCCATAGTTGGAGTAGGTGAAGCGTCGTGATGTGGGATTAGAGCCTCGCTTGGACCACGAGATCTGGGGCAACGGCGTGCCACCATAGACGCAGTACAGCTTCAGCTCATGGCCCCTAAGTGCGACAAGGTTCGGTGGCGACAGGTATTGCTTCACAGGAGCATGCTCAGCCTTTCCTGCGCTTGACGTTGGCTCAACTTTCAGCTGAATCTTGTTGCCAATCTTGTACTCTCGCCTGAACACCGATGTGGCACTGCACGTGTACACGGCATCCGAAAGCGCGTCACCCAGTTCGACGCGCGAGAAATGAAGGTCACCCTCGGGATCAGCAGTGATCCGCGATGAGTTGACATTGCGGAGTGCACCGCTCGAGTACTGTATGAGCCAGAAGATGTTCGGGCGCGGGTAACCCGTGGGAGGATTACAGTCGAGCGACAGAGGGTCGCCCTCCACCACGTAGACTTCCTTCGTGGTCTCCTCTGCAAAGTTGTTCAGTTCAGCCTTGCGCAGGAACACGGCGTTGGACACGGACGTGCCGTGGAGGTTGGTCGCGCGGCACTGGTACAGTCCTTCGTCTACGTCGTCCGGTTTGGTGAAGACGAGTGTGCCGCGGCGAGGCTGCTGCGAGATTCGCTTGTCATACGAGACATAGTCGAACTCCTTGTTGTTCTTCGTCCACTCGTAGGTGGGTTCTGGGTGGCCCTGAGCTTCGCACTCGAGCAGGAACGGCTTGTCCAGCTCGTCCTGAGACTGTGACACCTGGTAGAGTTGCTCGTGCTTGGGCTGTTTCACCATTGTGGGAGGTGAGGGCACCACCGCACCCGCCACCACTGCACCTAGCAGCAGCAGCAGTGCTGGTACATGTGCCATCCCTGAGTGAGAAATCCACAGTGTCAGAAAGAAACTCAAAAGTGAAAATTTTATGCTCATGAATGAAACAATATTGGTTTTTCATCTGATTGTGCAAAGTACCGGTAGTGGGCACGCAGGGCAACCAGAATCCGGAGTTCCTTAACATGCACCCCAAAATACGGTTTACAAGTGTTTTCGGACTTAGAGGGACACAACTTAGAAAAACAATTTTCCTCATGTTAGTAGATTACTGTTTCACGATTCCAAAATCATCACGCTTGCCACAAGATAGTATGCTGTGACCGAGAAAAGACGAAAAAGAAAAATGCGGGTAATGGCAGCACCTTAAAATTCCAATTCAGCACCTTAATTAATTCAGCACCTTAAATTTTGACTGCATCTACTTGGTCCCACGTAGTTAGTAAAAATCTGAGGAGGCCACACGCATGCATGGTGTTGCTTTTAATACATTACAAAACCAAAACTGCTAGCAATAATTTGATTTTTCAGCTGAAGCACTACTAAAGGACACGAGCTGCTTCAGGCATTAGCTCAAATTTCTTGACACATCTGCTTGCTGGAGGCACATGTATATCAAGCAGCATGAGACAAATGTTAATTATAATGATGCAATGCTCGAAGCAACAGATACTGTTAGAGTGAGCAGCAAACACATTAAAGTGAAATACCTCTTCACATAAAAAAAATATGAAGCATGAAGAAAAACAAACATTTTCAACCACAACAAACATGAAACATCAAATGGGGACGTTGAGACCAAAGCTGGCCTACGTTATTACAGTATACTGCCACTATGAGCAATCAGTGCACTCCCTTGCACTTGCATGTAAAAAGGCATTTGGATGCGATGCCCTAGAGAAAGATTGGACTTGTGGAAACACATTTCTTTAGAAACGAGATTAATACTGTTGTCACTCGGTGCACTGGAGTGCTATTAAGCTCGATCGGGATCAAATTTATAAACAGCATTTGACCATTTTCTGTAGCTTGCATAAGGCAGCCAGTCACAGTGATAGAATTATATCTGGATGAGGCCCGGTCGATATTAAAGTGACTGGGTAACACTGGTGTAACAGATATTCCAGTTCCATGTTACAGTACTGGGCGTTACGTTAACTCAGAAGCGAGTCCAGCCATCATTGCGCATTCAGAAGAGGAGTTTAGGCACCCAAAGCACGTGCAGCACACAATAGATCAGAGCTCTATGCGAATTTCGATGGTGCGTCCAATCACCGTCACACCTCTCAGCGTGCAAATGAAATGAGGGAGACAGCCTAAAAGCGTGCGGCGCGGTCCGCACAAAACACGCAAGTCCACTCGTCTTGGAAACGCCCGTCTTTGAAAGAAGAGCTGCGATCGATCGCAGACTAAACCGGTCTCAGAGGGCAGCTGCAAACATGCCGAAGGGATGGATTGAACGTGCAACCATCATTACAGGCTATCGAATGCCGGCGAGTACAATGAGGCCAGGATGCGCGCGTTGAGATCGCTATCCCGCGTACAGCCAGTACTGGACGCTATTTATAGGGTCGCGTAATTATTTACAAGTGCGCTGACAAGGAGGCTGTCGCGCGTTTCAATCAAGGGTTCACTTCCGGATTCGTTGCAGGCACGCGGGTGCAAACACTGACATCGCACTGATGTCACACGCAGTTTATATCGCGATCGAGTTTCTTGACAGTAACTGGCTTATTTGTGCGTGTGAAAGGAAGAGATGTCAATCGCGGTCATGAAATTCGATCCCTATCAGGCTCGATTGCGATCGAAAGTAGCCATGTAATCGCCGCAGAGATAGTCCGGAAATCGTTACGCCCGGTGTCCGCGATAGTGACCCTTTTTTTTTTGATGGTTTTACATGGCCTGAAGAGCGGTCAGGAGCTGAACCGAGCAGTTCGGTCACGCGCTGCCGGCGATCCGAGCCGAGCAACACAACCGAGGCGTCGTTTAGAAAGCATACCGTAGTAATAACGCACTTTTGACGAGGCAGGCCGACATATTATAGGGTATACCTTGAATGGGGCAGGCGAATTAGAGGCATCAGCCAGCGTGACATGGGGTCAACTCGCTACAAGCAGCTAGAAGGAGGCCCATCGGCTTAGAAGTCCCCGAGGCAGGGCCACGCCCCGAGCAAAGCTTCGCCACTCGTCCGGACAACGCACCGGCGGGGTCGCATACGCCTCGTCAGGAGCACGACTATCGCTACATCGCGGAAGGAATCGAACACGACGAAACCCTTCAGCTACCGATTCCCGAGAACGACTGACGGGCGCCCGTGGAACTAGGCCTAAAGATACAGCCTCGTTTCCTTGCACCGGTCGGCAGCCCGGGTCTCACTCATGCGGTTACAAAGTGTACTTCGGCGAACGAGGAAATGAAAATGGGATCGGACCTAGCTTGAACCTAGGAGTGCCCGGTCCCGGAGACCTTGCGGGCGCTCTCCACGACGGTCCACAGCACACACACTCAAGCACACACACACACACAGGCCGACGACAAGTTCCGAACGGTCGGCGTCCCCCTTGACACACACAGAATCGTTGCCAGCGAAACGCGGGCAACACGCACATACACACACCTTCTTTCGCGCGCTGCCGTGGGAACGGGCAAACGCACGCACAACAACACGGACCAGACCGGTGACGTATACGACCAAGAATCAGTGACATCACGCAAAACAATGGGCGGTGCCATTACGCATGCGCTCTTTGCTTCGTTAGCGCAGTGAAAAAAATTGTTAGTAGGTCAACCATACGTAGTAAAGTGGCAATTTTAACGAAACCAACCTCTGCTAAGCGTTGCAGTCGCAACGCGCAATAATTTTGCAACATTGTGCGCAGTTTCAGCCGGCACACTCTGTCCAAATTACAGAATTAAAGTGTACATTCGTGCGAGTTTGCTGTATGTAATTCATGAAAATGTACATTGAAGCGCAACGATTGGTAATAACGATTGACATTTAGAAGCTTAAAAAAAAAAAAACTATCAAACCAGTGAGACCATCAAGTTCTTTCAAAAGCTTAAATATTATAATTTGTAAATTGTACATGTGAATTTATAAGCCCTGTTCACTCAGTGTGTTTGACACTACATTATAAAAATTTAGTTTAAAATGTGGATACTTCCCAGTGCAATTTAGAACTTTGCTATCTGTAAAACAGCGCTATAAACTTAACGATTACTTCATTTTGTAAATGAACCATTAACTCTAAAAATATTTTGTATAAAGTTTCTCTAAAGAAAGCAGGTTTTTTTTTTTTTTTTATAAAGAGTGTCTTGATGAGCGCGGGGTGAGCAAACGTACTTGAAGACCTGCTAGCAGCGCGCTCTTGCGGTGTTTCTACATCAATGTTTGCAGTGGTGACTTGGGTTTATTCACTAAGTTGTAACCACTCTACAGTCCTCCAGACGCCGTCTGCTCGCTAATGCGCCCACAAAGCCGCTTTTAGCTCCTTTCTGTGATAGCGTGCCGCACGCATGACGGTGTGCGCGTTTAATTATTAGTGAATTAGGACGCCTCCCGTGAAGGTCGAGGCGTGGGCGCGACTCAAATATTGGCTGTCAGCCAGGTCACTTTAATAAAAGCAGCACAGTGGGGCAAGGCGAAGAGGTCACGCCCAGCGTGGCGTTTGCAACACAGCCTCCCCAAAATTTACGGTGCGGTGCTAATTCACAATTTACACTTTCCTTTGCCACGTTGCCAACGTTGACTACTAATGAGTATACTCTAATAATTTCTTCACGGGGATGACGATATCACAACGAACACGGTTCTCCAAAGCCCAGTTTACGCAAAGAAATAAAGGTGGGGAAACATTCGAATACCCGCTATTCATAAATATGATGTTTTTTTATTAGTTTATGAATATTTAGAAGTGTCGGCCACACCCAAATGAATGGCACGTGAATGGTGCGAAAGGAAGATAACTTTAATCCCTGCTGACATGGCATACATCGACGCGTAGTTGCAGCATCTTATGTCACCAGGGTATTGGCATTCTGCGACGATATCTTGCGTACGCGATGAATATGCTTATCTATTTCTGATGCTGCCTTTGCCCCTTTGGTGCTAGAATTAGGGATGAAAGCCAGTTAACATCGTTTTCAATTAGTTACTATCGTTCAGCATTAAAATGTGGTCGGTTCGGCCGCAAATATCCTGCTCGTACGCATATTCAATAAATTAACAAATGAATTCGCACGGTTCACAACTGGATCGCTCAGGAGATAACAGTGGCATAGCTGGAATCAGAAAATATTCCAGAAGAAATCGGCAGCATAAGCTATACTAAGCACAGGGAGAAATTAAAATGCTGATAACGAGCATAAATGAGAAGTGCTTTGTTTACCAACATTACTACTAGTAGAAGAAGCAGTAGTAGTAGTAGTAGCAGCAGCAGTGCGGTGGTGGTGGTAAAGAAAGCACTTCTCAGTATACTACTACTACTACTACTACTACTACTACTACTACTACTACTACTACTACTACTACTACTACTGTTGCGTTAGTCCACCACGGTGTATCAGTGGCTTAGGTGCTCCGAAGGTCGCGGGTTCGATTCCGGTCTCGGCAGTCTCTTTTCGGTGCAGGCAATATGGTAGAGACCCGTGTATACTGTGCGATTTAAGTGCATGTTAAAGAACACCAGATTGCCGAAATTTCCGGAGCCCTCCACTACGGTGTCTCTCATAATCACGTCGTGGTTTTGGGACATACTTTGTCGCATTATTTATTTTTGTACAGTGTCCAAAGCAAAGGCGCCTTGGCATGAAGTATTCAATTATCAATGCACCGCATTTAGAGTAAGTATGTTTAGTTTTGGCGGGCGACATATCGTCGAGCAGATTCATTGATTCATTCATTCACTAACTGGTTAATTAATTCGAAGACTTTCTTTCGGGCATATGCCCTCGGCGACAACACGTACGTATACATTCACTGTACTCGTAACTGCAGGCTCTGGTTGCGTTATATAGTGTCAACGAGACTATAAGAATTTCGAATTTTGATTGATTGATTTGTGGGGTTTAACGTCCCAAAACCACCATTTGATTATGAGAGACGCCGTAGTGGAGGGCTCCGGAAATTTTGACCACCTGGGGTTCTTTAACGTGCACCCAAATCAATTTCGAATTTTCGATCATGTTATTCAATTAGGGTAAGTATAAAGGAGTGCGTATGGTGATGCGACCGGTTACTCGTATAACCAAAGGCGGGCGCAGTGTTATTCACCAAAGAGTGGCCAAGTTCCACCGCAGTGAACCCCCTTCCCTCCCAAGTGTACGAGAGAAAACAATTGAGCTTAGTACGTAACGGCCGGATGTATGCAAAAATGAAAATCAAGAAAGCATGGGCTTGCACATTAACCAACGAAAGAAATAATTTGAAGAGTTAGAATATGGAACTAATTGCCCCCCTTCTCCCTCAAGATAATTAGGGAGCGGCACTCCACCTCACCCCTCATTGGCACACGCGTCTAGGCAGCACGGATCTTGTGCCATTTGTGCAGTTTCGCACGTTTGCACATAGAAAGGCAGTCCCCCCCCGCCACATGCCCAGCCGCGTGCACAAGCTCATAGGATGAATGAATGTGAGCCTACAGTGACGCATAAGATGAAGCAAACATTGCTAACAATAGACCGTGGATCGTGTGCCCGTTATGCAGTTTCGCGATTTGATCGGCGATTAGCGATACAGGTTCAATTTCAGGAAATAGCAGTGTACATGCCGCCAGCCATATGTGGCTACCACCGCAACGCTTGTGCCCTGCATGGAGTTCTCAGCGAATCCATATATGGGTTTTTCCGTCCGCTGCATGCGGAAGGCGCCGTGTGCAGCCTATACGCAATTCAACGATCCTTTGTTTTGGAGGCGGAAGTATGTCGGCCAGACAGAAACGTATCATCGACGGAGACAGCTCATTAGTGAAACGTTAGAGTGGCGGCGTAGTTGGGACATGTAGATTGTGAAACAGTGTTGCAACGGGTTTGTAGGTGTGCGCCGCTCGTCATAGATTGAGCGATCATTAGCTTCCGGGAAGGTACTTCAAGTTGCGCCCTATGTAACCGTGACAGTTTTCACGCCTTAACGAAACGTCCCAATAAGGTAAGTTGACACTCCTTGAAAGGAGGATTTTTATTTTATACTGAACTTTATAGTTTTTGACATTCTAAAAATGTACATAAAAATTGCGTCTCTATTAGGTACTGTTAAAATTTACGGTTCTTTTGTGAATGCCCTCAAACCGAAAAGGACACGTATGGCAAATTTAATTACGTGTTTCTATGGAAACCTAACTGATTACCATATATACTTTGTTGTAACGAGAATTTTCGCCCCATATTTTTGTTTTTCTAATGTCAAATATCGCGGAACAATTGAACGCCAACTTTTTTTTTTCCAGGAGACAATGAAAAGTAACCCCTCGCGTAGAATTGTGCTGTTCGAATCGAGTAAACAGGGTATCGGTCGTGATTTTTGTTTGTGTTTAATGTATTTGTCAAATACCATCAGCCTTGCACAGGTCATTACAAGGAGTGGATTTGAAGCAATCATCAGCAAGCACGAACACTCCGACACGCGACCTGGACTAGTCTGCCATAAGCCAGTCGCGAAATGCAGCCGATGGTGCCAAGATGATACCACGTACGGTAGACTTGGAGCACAGTAAATGTGCGCAAGAAAAAAGAGTGGCATCCATATTTGCAGCTTTTGTGCTATAAATACAGCACTCCCATCACCGTGGAAGTGGCGGGTGTGGTTCCGGCCGTGGTGGTCGCATTTCGGTGCGTTGATTGATTGATTGACATGAGGGGGTTTAACGTCCCAAAACCGCCATATGATTATGAGAGACGCCGTAGTCGAGGGCTCCGGAAATATCGACCACCTGGGGTTCTTTAACGTGCACCCAAATGTGAGCACACGGGCACACAACATTTGCGCCTCCATCGGAAATGCACGCATTTCGGCAGAAACGAAGGCCTTGCACAACGCCAGCGAACGTTTACAAACACCAGGTGGTCTAAATT